TAAGCAGGACCGTGCCCCGGACCTTCCCTTCGGCGACAGCTTTAGGCGTCAGCCCGCTGAACAAAACATATCCCCACCAGCATGTCAGTGTAGTTGATATCTGACGGTGCTGTTTGTATGACACACACCGAGCGATCGACCTCTGCGTGTTTATGGTCGCGCCGCCGCGCCATTTTGGCTGCGCTTACTTGCTGGTCGCCACCGGGATTTCAACGCCACCGGGTTTGGGAGTATCGGTTCTGGTTTTCCTTATGAGTGGCTGCCCGTTCGCTCGCTTCCCTTGCCTTTCTTCCCCTGCTGCCTAGTTGCGGCCCGACTAGTGTCCGGACGGCTTTCGACCCGCCCTGCGAGCCTGTTGACCAAAAAGTATCCCCACCAGCCCATCCAGAAACGATGTCCATGCGACTTGAGAGGTGATTTGGGAAGTGCGGGAGCAAAGAGGGGAACGGCCGAACCGTGTGAAGGAGAGAGGGGGCGAAGGAGAAACTTTGACGAATGGATGAGGGAGTGGGCAGAAGGAGGATGAAGAGGATGAGGAGGAGGAGGCGGAGGGGGAGGATGAGGATGAGAAGGGAAAGAAAGAGGGAGGAGGAGTAGAGCAAGCAAAAGGGCCAAAGGTCTCTCGGATGCTTCTCGGAGCCTCTATGGGTATCTCTTGGGCGTCTTGGGACGTCTTGGGGATATTTTGGCGGTCGTGGGGGGCTCTTCGGCGTCTTGGGTGCCTCGGGGGGGCCTCTTTGGGCCGCTTGAGATACTTTTGGGGGCCTCCTGGGGGCCTTTTGGGGGCCTCTTGGGGCCACCTTGGGGCCATCTTGGGACCTCTTGGGGCCTCCTGGGCGCTTCTTGGGGCCACCTTGGAGGAGATCGATCAAACAAGAGGGGAGCTTTAATTTGGGCTCCCCTTCAGGAGGCCAGAATGGGGCCAAAACCCTTAGTAAAACCCGTGATTTTGGCTTCCTCGCCGAGGCCGTTTTGGACGCTCCGACACCTCGCGGAACCCCCTGTCCACCCCTCCCCGAAGGGGAAGAAAGAGGGGTGGAAGAGGAAACTCCCTAAACCACCGACGCCCAGAGGGCTGGTGGGATTACCACGATGCTGAGTAGGAGGAAGACGAGGTGTCGGAGGAAGGAGGAGGACGGGGAGGAGGGGGAGGGCGATGACGATGATGACCATGATGATGATGGTGATGATGATTGTGATGATGATGGTGATGGTGATGGTGTTAGTGATGATGCTGATGATGGTGATCCTGGTGATGCTGGTGATGGTGATGGTGATGATGATGGTGGTGATGATGATGACGATGAGGATGATGCTGATGATGATAATGACGATGATACTGCTGCTGATGATGATGAGGCTGGTGATGATAATGATGATGACGATGATGATGACGACGACGCCTTCGATGATGACGATGATGATGATGGTAGTGATGGCAGTGATGATTGGCGTGATGATGACGATGACGAGGATGGTGGTGATGAGGGTGATGATGATGTTGCTGATGATGATGATGAGAATGATTATGATGATGCTGATGTTGAGGATGGTGATGATGATGATGATGATGATGATGATGATGATGATGATGATGATGATGATGAGTATGATGATGCTGATGATGATCATGATCATGACGGTGATGATGGTGATGATGGTGATGATGATGATGGTGATGGGGTGATTGGGTGATGGGGTGATGGTGGTGGAGGTGGTTGGGAGGAGTGTGAGGAGGAGGAGGAGGAGGAGGAGCAGGAGGAGGAGGAGGAGGAGGAGGGATGAGGATGGTTGCCAGGGGCGCGGCTGCCTCGTGCCGCCTACGCGCCCTTTGGTGCCGCCTCCTTGGCCTGCCCTCTTTGTGCCGCTCCGTGCCGCCGCGCCCGTCCTGCCATTCTCCTCCTCGCGGGCGACGTCTCAGCCTGGTGATCAGTAGGGGAACAACAGTGACATAAACATATAAACTCGGAGGTCCGCGCGGATTCCTCGGATCGGCGCTGGGGCCTCTTGGCGGCGCCTCCGGCGCCACCCCTGGCGCGCTCCGCGCGCTAGGGAGGTTCGCTTCCAAGCTTGTAAATATCTTTGCTCCAATCCGTCTATCATCCCCGCTGCCCTTTGCCTCAAGCGCTGCACGGCGCACACACGCTTTGTTGCGGAACTTGCGGTTATTCAGTGGCACCGTGGGCCAGTCTCAGTTACATTGAACACACACATCAGTCTACACCATTGTTGTTGTGACACGTTTTTTCGACCTTTGAGTTCAGCGTGCGACATCGCAGGGTTGTCACAGACATTCCCAACGACTCAGGCGCGGTGGTAGGGTCAGGGGGAGGGGCGGAGGGACGGATAGGCTCAGGTGAGAGGGATATGCTCAGTCGCGAGCACTTGTCGGGCAAGGTACGACGTGCAGCTGAGCAAACTGCACAGTGACACCAGGATCTCGAGAAATTTGCTGCTGGGATGCTTCAGATCCGAAAGACCTGACGCACCCTCTGAGTGTAGGCGAGTCTCATAGTTACTGGTCTAGCTGGCAAGTTTCCGGATCGTATCTTTAGCGATGGACCCGCTCGCAACCACATCTCAGAATGCTTTAGGCGTGCTCGTTGGTTTCTTTGCATGGCTAATTGAAAGGGCGATCTCCTTACGGCCGCAAGCGGTGCAGTGCCGACGTTAGCTAGTCTGGTGCGAGGGTACTCTCTCGGGTGCGTTCGGGGCAAAATTGTGGCCATCAGTTTTGCGAGCCCGAGGGCCCAGATGTGGTCCACAGTATGGCACGTTCTCCAGGACGGGCTGGATGTCCACAAAACCCTCGGCTATGCCACCTTTAATGACGTTGTTGAAGGCCGCTTTCCGCGCTGCTGAAAGGGAAAGCAACACACATTCGGATCGTCCGGCTAAAAAGGGTACCAGACTGCGCCCGTCAGTAGAAGTTGCCATGCATTCGTCTTCCAATTAAGAGGAACTGCACGGATGTCTGCAGCGGGGGAGGGTAACACAGGACGTCCTGATGAGTCAAACGGATTGGTCTCACTCGACTCGGTTTCCTGAGAAGGCTTGCGATGACGACCTTGCCAGCCCTGCCCCCGTCCCAACATACACACACACACACGCGAGTACTGCTCGTGTGCGCTTGGCTAGGCGACTTCGACTGAAAGACAGGGCTGCCTGGGCCAGATCAGACGCACGCAAATCGTTGTTGAGTTTCCGCTCCGCCCGCAGCGTCCCCGCATCAGCTCACGGAGGCGCAGACAATCATGTGGCTTTAAGGCCATAGCCTGTTGATGACAAATGTATGGGACGGGACAGTGGCGACGGTTGGTGGGGCGGGATGGGTGATGATCTGCGTGAGGTGCGGGGGCTACGTGTGGGCAGGCCTCGGCTCCTTTAGCAGGAGATGCCCCTGTCAGCCCCCCACCAGATGTTTGAGGCAACAGAGATCTCGTGCCTCGAGCGGTCTCATCCCGAGCTGAGCTGGACAGTACAGAAGTTGGTCAATCTCAGAAGCCAGGAGACCGTCACTTGCTGACCCTCTCAGCTTGGTTCGAGTTGCTAGGAGGGGTGGTTTGGTGCAGGCGGAGTGTGAGCCTATGTTTAGTGTCTCTGAGGACCCACCTCTGGGCGAAAGTTGAGATGTCCCGCAGCTCCTCGCCAGGTTTGGGGTCCACGGTCCCGCTAGCCAGTTTGCCGCCCAAGGCGGTGGAGGAAGCCAGCCGTGTTTTGGCTGTGAGGAGTGTTCGACATTGACGAACGCGCCGATGCCCATAGCATCGCCTATGGAGGGATTAGGCTCAGAAGGGGGGGAGGGCGGGAGGGAGGCAGGAGCAGAAGGAGGAGGAAGGACGAAGGAGGGCAGGGGGGATTCGCTCAGGGACATTGGGGAGGGCCCCGCCTTGGCTCACCGAGCCCTGACAGGGCACGGGGGAGGCATCGACCTCCGATCGCATAGTAAGCGCTGGTGGGTGGATCGATGGCCCATCCCCTAAGTAGCGTGCGGTTTCGCTGTCAAGGGCCCCTCGCCGACCTATCGGCGATGAGTCGCCGAGTCGACCTCGACGTTTCCCCCGTTGGGCCAATCCACACCTATCGTTCCCGCTCGGATGAGGAGACGATGACGATGGTGAGGATGTTGATGATGCGAGGGATGGTGATGGTGGTGGTGGTCACGATGATTCAGGATGGCGATGATACTGGCGATGATGATCATGATGGTGGTGGTGGTGGTGATGGTGACGGTGATGGTGATGGTCATGATGACGACGATGATGATGTTGCTGATGTCGGTGACGATGTCCGCGACTGCGGACAGTGTGATGGTGATGGCGATCATGGTGGTGACGATGACGACGACGGTTGTGATGGTCATTATGACCAAACACGATCAAAACGATTATGATGATGACGACGAGGGAGGAGGACGACGACGAATTTCCGCCCCAAATCTCCAAGCCCTCCCCAACAAAGCTGGTCGTTCAGACAAGGAAGGAAGCCAGGGAATATTCCCGCAGGGGACAATCCGGACGCACTCCTGTCGAGGTCGGGTGCCCCTTATCGAAACCCCAGGGTGGGGCTTTTTTTTTTCCAGTCGGACGCCTCACAAAGTCGGGGATTGGGGTCGCCATGCCCTCTGTTATCCCAAGACCTCTGGAGACTCGAGAATCTCAGGCTTGAGGTTGTCACCATTCTCGGCCTCCGGAGGCTGCTCTCGGGCCTGGGGCTGTCGAGGAACGACGCAGGACGAAAAGCCGATGTCAGGGGAAGGGTCGAGAGGTCCAGGGCCCCGAGTCGCGGACCGATCGGGTCGTCGCAGGCCCCGGGTATTGACCTGCACCGATCCTGGCGGGGCCGGTCTGGGCGCCAAGAGTCGCCGTGCACGGCGTTCTTGGCCGCTCTGACAGGGCGATTGCACCGATCCTGGGCACTGGCTGGGGGCCTGGCCAGGATTGGCCGACACTGAACGACCTGCGCTATCGGAGAGCCGCGCTTGTTCCAGGATCAACGATCCACGCGGTGTCAGAGACCAACGCGCAAGTCGTTGCGACACGAACCCGCCGTGGGTGCATGGCTGGCGTCCTCTTTCTTGAATGTTTCGGATCCCGTCCCTCATTTGTTGCCGCCGTTCCTGGCCTCCGACTCTCGCATACGACGCTGGCCCTTGTCCTGTCAGCCTTGCGCAACGTGACTCTCGCGGCGTGATTCCGATGTTCGCCTCAGTGATCTGGCAAGTCCCCCCAGTTGTTGCCAGGCCCATGGCCCCTCGTCCCTGTGGGTCTCCCATCTGTCTTCTCCCCTCAGATTTGTGCTCACTTGTGCTCATTGGATCATGTCATCTGGCAGCATGGCTGCGAAACCAGCGAGCACTATTTTTGTTGGACGCTGCTATCTGGCAGCATGACTGCGAGCATGTCGACGTTGCCTGAACATCTGAAGGGCTTTGCCCTCTGCCGAGGGCGCCCCCTCTCATTGCTTGGGCGGTTACGCTTGTTCGGTTGGTGAGCTGTTGGTGTGTCGTCTGGCTGGCTGCAACTCGGCTTGTTGGCCTGTTCTGTGGCTATATTATTGGCAGCTGGTTTCGGTTGTACTTTAGCAGTACGAGGGTTCGCGTCCTTGGGATCACGCACCCCTCGCGATTTTGAAGATTCGTGCCGTCGGGTCCAGCGCCGAATTTTCAGGAAACGGCGGGGAAGCCGAATATCCCAACATGGAGAGCGGGTGGCGCTTTTGGGCAGGCAGTCTCCTTTGCGTGGAGTCGTGGCACTGGGAGCGCTAATTTGTTCGAATTTGCAAGGGGCCATGGTCCTCGGGGGCGCGAATTCGTTGCTATGTGCCAGGGGTTGTGGCCTCGGGCGCGCGACTGCGTAGTAAACTGAGAGGTATTGTGGCCTCGGGAGTGCGAGTGCGGCGTAATTTGCAAAGGGTTGTGGCCTCGGGGTCGCGAAAGTGATCTACTCATGGGATTGAAGCCTCGGGAGCGCGCAGGCAATTTGCAAGGGACTCGAGTTCCGGGAGAGCGACCTCGTAGTAATATTCAAGGTGTTGTGTTTTTGGGGAGCGCGAGCACGACGTAATTTGCAAAGGATTGGCCTTTGGGGCGCGAAAGTGTTGCACTTCTAAGACTGTGGCCTCGGGAGCGCGAAGGCAATTTGCAAGGGGTTGGAGTTCCCGGAGCGCGAGTTCGTAGTGAGTCGTTGGGAGCCGCGGGAACGCGAGCACACTGTAATTTACCATTGAGGTTAACCTCGGGAGCGCGAGCCTGTGGCTCGGGAGCAGCGCGAGTGGGAGCGCGACCGTGTTGCAAATTACAATTTTTGATGGTTTCCCAGATCTCATCTTACGTCGAGCGCCTTCCTACTTCAATACTCGTTTGGCTGTTTTTGTTATTATTTGGGCGGGCCCGAACCCAATCTACTTCATTAGCCTTCTTCTTGTTTCTACGTGCTTCTTCCGACTGGCTGGTATTTGTGTCTTCGGGAACGCGGATGCGCCGTGATTGACAGTTGATTTTATGATGTTGGGAGCGCGGATCTGTGGTAATTGCCCTTGGGTGTTTGCCTGGGTTGACGGCTCACAAGCGAAAAGTATGGCGAATGGCTTCAAGAGTCGCAAACCACACCCAAGCACGTTGGACATAGCAAGTGTTGCAATAGCGACCAGACCTCATTCCACGGCAGCGAGGACAGAGGCAGCACGGTCGTCAACACAAACGTTGGGACGACGAAATCAACAGTTGTCTACGCCAACGCAGTCCAGACCTTCACCGACCGACCGCGCATGCCTGCGCGACAGGAGAACCAAACAACATTACATGGATTCAAACAGCATAGGACACCGAACCATGCACGACGCTCGAGCACCACTACGTCGACCCCACACCAGCAGACACCCAGAACCGAAGCCAATGACGCGAACGCCCAGCGAGACATCCCACATCGACACCGACACCAAGGACTTCCTCCTCTTCCCCCCCCCTTTCCTTCCCACACAGGCTGACACGACCGACCCCAAGGACCATCCTCCCTCCGTCCTTCTTCCTATCTTTTTGCGCATTTGTCTCGCATTGCATGTTGTCCAAAAGCACCAGATTCCCGAGGCCACGGCCTCGCCCATCGGGTCTTGAGCAGGCCTTGGCGCTGTCCGCAACGGTGGTCGCATCGCATCGCATCGAGAGCGCATCGTATTTTACACGGAGTGTGGGTTTCGGGAGGGCGATTTCTTTAGAAGGGGTTGCGCTTCGGGAGCGCGAGCGCGTAGTAATTTGAGGATAACCAAAAAACATATGTGGCGATGACGGCCGTCCCCAGGGGGTGGGAGGAGTCCAGTGACGTCATGTTTCGCGCCGGCGGCGCCTGGGAATGCTTACGCATGACCGAAGATTGGTCGGAGGAGCATGTAGGTGGCGATCTGCACCACAGCGTCTGTGTGAACCACAGTCAGTGCCAACGTGCACCACAGCGCCAGCGTACACCACAACAGCCGCGTGCAACACAGCGCCCGTGTGCACCACAGTGCATGCGTGCACCACAGCGGTTGTGTACACCACAGTGCGTGCGTGCACCACAGCAGTCATGTGCAACGCAGCACCAGTGTACACCACAGTGCCTTCATGCACCACGGCGCCTGTGTACACCATTGCGCCTGTGTGCGCCTCAGCAACCGTGCGCAACACAATACCACTATTGCACTCAGGATGTTCGAGCGATTCTGTATGACAAATTGGATGGAACGCTTGTGGACTTCACAAGAAGAAATTATGTTGCACAGTACTTACGGAAATAAGATCGCTTCTGGAACCTACGAGTCCTCCCGAGGAGCAGGATAAGGAGGGGGAGGAGGATGATGATGAGGAGGAGGAGGCGGAGGGGGATGAACAAGAGGAAAAGGAACAGGAAATGCTGTGCCCTGGGGATCGGGATTCGCATAGAGACAGGGGCAGCGCCCTCCTGAAAAAGTTCGTTTGAGGTGTGGGGCATTTTGGAGGCAGTGTAGTTGGAGGCGGTGTGGAATGGGGGCGCTGTGGCATGGCACTATGGCGCTGCATGGCGGGAGCGCGTATTTTTGCCTTGCCCAATTCCGTTATACGGTGCGCACTGAGATGAACACGCGCGCGGCAATACCGACCCGCACGACGGGGAGAAAGGGGTGAGGGAGGAGGAGGAGGCTTTCCTTGATGCCGCAAGACGGGCATTCGTTTCCGCATACGAGAACCAGTTTTTCACAGACGTGAGCGTCAGACGAGAACGTGGCCCCAGATTTTGGTCCGCATTGCATCAGCACGAAGCCTTTCGCTTTCACATCACAGCGCCCACAGGGCGCCCACCTTCAGCATGTCGGGCAGCGCAGGCAGGTGGACATGCGGTGATTGCGAAGCACGTTCAGCCCTGGCATTGGCGTTGTCGTTGTGGACCTGCTTGGGCCCGCCGGTGCGCTCGTTCCAGCAGCCGCGGGCGCCCTTCATATCGCGGCGAGCAGGAGAACGATCGGCAGGTTGCCCCCCTCGCTCAGAAATTTGCCCCGGCGATCCCCTTCGAGGCGTCTGCGCATCAGGATTGGCACGGGCGGGGGTCCCCTGCCAGCGGGGGGCAGTTGCCCCAGTATCGCAGGTCGGCGAGGCTAGCGAGGTCGGCCGTCGCCGGCGCTCAGGCTGCCAAGTCCGACGGGGCAGAGCGCGCAGAACTTGCGCCTTTCGGGCGACAGGTTGCGGATGCCCCTCGCGCGTTCCATGGAGCACGAGAAACAGCTCAAAGACGCGAGGCTGAAGATCCAGCCGCTGGGGCGGCCGAAGACCTCGAGGGAAAAATTGCGGACCATCGAGACATGATTCAGAACCCGGAGCAAACCATCCAAAACGCTGCGCCAAAGAGGTTGCATAACGGGGCCAGAAGATGACGTCGGCACCCGCGGCACCAGTGGCTCCTCCTTCTGCCTCGCCACGCATCCGCCAGCCTCCGCGACGCCAAGGGGCCGGGGGCCACGGGAGACGTGCGCGGGAGCAAATGCCGAGGTGCATCGGATCCCTGGCCACGACGCTGCAGCTCTTGCTCACGAGGCAGGAGCAGACGCGGTCGTCGATGTCCAACGCGGCCCATGGTAAGGGCGCTGCTGCAGCGCGCCAGGCCGCCGCGCAGGGGAACGGACATGCGTTCAGGCCCTTTCCTCCGAGACCAGTGCGTCCGCTGCGCCGTCGTCGATGCCAAAGTGCCCCCCCCCCCCCCCATCCCCCCCCTTCTGTTCCTACCGCGGGGTTTACCGCGCAGCCGCCTGCGGCGGCGACCTCGGACCCGCGCACGCAGGACAAGGGCTTCTCCACGGGCGCGGGGGGGCCTGCGGCGGCGGCGCGGGGCTCGCCCTCTGCAGAGCAAAGCCCGGCCAATGCCATCGCGCGCCAGCTGCGAAAGGCGACGGCGCCCGCACCTGCAGGACAACGCGGCCTCGGGGCAGCAGTGGGTCCGCCAGCGATGCCGCTTCAGCCGGGGCCTCCTCGCAAGGCCGAACCGATTCCGAGCGCCATGACGGGGCCTTCCCCGACGCAGATGCGGGGGCCAGGATGGGGTCGCCCCCCACGGGGCCGCAGCCATGCGGCGCGCAGCGGGTGCGAGGGCGGCGGGCGCAGCAGCGACCGGCGCGGGAACATCCAACCAGGAGAGCAGGGTGGCGCCGCTCGTGCCTTCAAACGTCAGCCCCCCTCTGACGCCTACTCAACCTGCGCTGACTCAGGAACTTCTGCCAGGCCCAGTACGCAGCGTGACCGAGAGCGCAGCGGTGGCGATTGCCCCGGCAGCGGCGGCGCGGGCAGTGCCTGTTTCGCCCGACAGGTCGAAACCTGCAGAGAAGCATGGCATGACAGACGCTACAGGCCTATCGCCGCCTCACAAGTCAGCGGCTCTGCCCCGCGCATTGCAAGAGGAGCAGACCTGCGGGGCATATTTAATTCGGCGCGCCGGAGGCCACCGCGTTTATCATTGGTGACCGCATTCGATCCAGGGGCGTCGTTGGGACAGCCCCCCTAATTCCTGTGCGATGCGCATGGGCGGCGCAGCGCATGGGCGCCCCCGCCCCGCCCGCGTCGGCGGCGCTTGCATTTTGACTATGCTCGGCGATGGGGCCGAGACCCAGCTGCGCGAGCTGCTGATCGCTACGTCTCTCGGCTAGCCCGTCGGATCGCGCGCCGGAAGCCCCCGCGAGGCGCGTCGAGGCCGCCTTGTGGGATGAGGGGGCCGCGTGTTGTGGCGTCTTCGAATAGTGCGCGCCCGCTGCCAGGCGCCGCTTGGAGAACAACCCTGCCCCCCGCCCCATTCTCGACCACCCCGGCGATCTTGCTAATCTCGCCGAAGGGAATTGTCAGGAGGCATGGCCCCATGATGGGCCCTCGCGCAGGCGCTTCGCACGCGCGCGCTGTTTCTTGCCATCTCAGGACCGACGCGCAGGAGGTGGCAGAGCATGGCTCGACGGGGCCAGCGTAGATTGCGCGCGCAGGATGTTTTCCTTCAGTGCGCGGGGGGGCCCTGGAGGAGGGCTTTCAGATCTGCGGAGCTTCAATCGCCTGCATGACATGTTTGAGGCGAGGATCCCCCATCTTTCCAGACAGCGCAGGTTGAATCCGACTGGGCACATGATGGATAGGTTGTTCAACGGGGCCTGGTCGCAGGCCAATTTGCCGGCGGTCCACGGTGTGCAACTTCCGACGCCTCCCATCTCGCCCAGTGCCCGCATTCCCCCCGCGGCCCCGCCGGCGCCGCCCCCTCGCCTCCGCGGGCCGCGTCGGCCGCCCCCTCCGCCGCGAGAAGAGCGAGGAGGGCGGTCGCCTGATGCAGACAGCGCGCGCTATGGGGAGCACCATGGCACGACGCAACTGCAGATTTTGCTCACCAAGGCGGGCGAGGCCTTACGGAATGCGAAGCCACTCTGCTGTCGGGACAGGCAGTTGCGGCAATGCCGATGCCAATCTCATCGGCAATGGTGACGTGGAAGGGCATGGGCATGCTATTCATGAGCCGCTTCCCCGCCACTGGAAACATGACCCCGCTGCAACGTGCTTGGGCGCCCGCAGGCAGCTGGCGCGCAGAGCGGTGAGAAGATCGCGACGGGGCGCAGCTCTGCGCGCGCATCCCTGCGACATTTTGGCCGTCAGCGCGGGCAGTTCATCGTCCAAGAGTGACTGGGTGGATTGGTGCGCCCCGTTTATTTCTCCGAGCTCACTTTCTGTGTTATTTGTCATCAGCTAGCGCCCGGCAACGACGATGCACGGGGTCTTGCTAGCGACATATGCGACGAAGCCTGGGAGAAGACAGAGGCCACAGAGACGTGTTCATTCGGGCGCTGAGAAGGCTGCAATAGCTCGGCCATAACTCTTGGAGGAGAACGCACTGGAGGGGGCAATGAATGACCTTCGCATGGCGCAGCATCGCCATTCGAGGATGGCGGGAGGTCCAGGCGCGACTCCCGACGGAGAAGATAACCCTGACCCCGGCTACTCCCTCCCGCCTCGTCCAGCGCCAAGCCCCAGCAGGTCCGCTTCGACGGCCAATGCAACTACATGCCTCTCTGATCTCATCTGGCGCGGAGACAAAAAGCAGCGCGGCGCGCGATCATACTCGAGGGCCCCATCTTCGGGGACAGGAGGAAGAGGAGGAGGAGGAGGAGGAGGAGGAGGAGGAGGAGGAGGAGGAGAAGGAACAGGAGGACGAGGAAAACGAGGGAGGAAGGAGGAAGGAAGAGAATTGCATTCTTTTTTCAGCGCTACCCTTGCGTGGCGCTTAGCTGTCCGCAGCAGATCCTCACCTACATGCTCCTTCTACCTGTCCTGCGCGCGCAGGCACTGGTGTGCACGGGCTTTGTGTTGCACGTGGATGCTGTGGTGTACACAACCGTTGTGGTGTACACAGGCGCTGCGGTGCACGCGGGCACTGTGGTGCGCTGTGTTGGAGACTGCTGTTGCGGTGTACACATTCGTTGTGGTGTGCACAAGCGCTGTGGTGCACGCAATTATTGTGTTGCACACAGGCGCTGCGTTGCACGCGTCTTTTGCGATGTACCCAGGCTCTGCAGGGTGCACGCGCGCTGCGGTGCACGCGAACACCGTGGTGTGCACTAGCGCTGCGGTGCAGATCACCACCGACACAGTGCTCCTATTTGGTACCGGTCATCCTTAGGCATTCCCGGACGCCGCTGGCGCGGAACGTGACGTCACTTGTGGGGCGGGGGCGGGACCCCGTGACGGCCGATATCGCGGAAAAGTGAAAGACTGTTTCTTTACGAGGGATTGCGGCCTCGGGGGCGCGAATTATTTGCATTTTTATTTGTATCGGCGCCGCCCAAAAATTCAGACAACGTGATTCTGGGATGGGAACGGGGTGGTTTTCGATTCGAGGTCCTCCAGCGTTCGTAAAGTGCTACTGCATTGGAGCCAGAAGCCAGACACTATAGCTTTGGGAATTGGATCTGGAACTGTTGCAAAAAGCCAAAACACCTAGGCCTCGCAGTCTGTTCGCCCCCCAACGGGCCGGCGGATTTGGGCCCAAGCAGGCTTGCTCAACGGACCATCTTCCGTCAGGTCGATGCGATGGGTGTAGTTGCCGAGACGGCAATCGTAACTGGAGTGAAACATTTAGACGAGCAGATACCTTACGGCTGTCCCTCTGCCACGGTGGACGTGCCGCACGACGCAGAGAAGGGCGAGGTAGCGAATCTGGCGAGGTCACTGTATTACACTCGCCAGACTGCGGAGGAACTGGCCCAGACGCCAAACACTCCGCCGAAGGTCGCGAAGTTCGCCGGCGACGTGGCAAGGTGCCACCCCCCTTCAGCACTTCTTCGCAGTAAGCATTCCGGGAGAGAGGTTTGTGTCTGCGGCAGGTTTTAGCGCCGCGGTGACGCAGCGGCAACGCGTGCGCGGGGGTTCGGGGTTGAATTCCACCAGCTGCCCGAATTCGGCCAGGACGGATCGATCTCCGAGGTCGTGAGCCGGCGATCGTGCAAGATTCAGCGATCCACGCGGTGGTCGTAATGTCAACGATGTCGGCGTCGCGACATGAACTTGTCGGGCATTTGGCGCGAGGGTTGGATGGACACCTCATGTTCTCATTCGTTGGGGCTTCCCACCCAGAAACGCGACTCCTTGAGTGATCTCTGCGGGGCCGTGGGCCCTCGGCGAAGGGGCTCGTGCTTGACCCGCGATGTCATGCCCACGCTTCCCAACAATGTCGATATCGGTATGATTCGATAGCGACTCCGCTTGGGCCGATCCGATTCGATGTTGCTGTTCTGGCGGTCCGACGTGGCTCGATGCTCGCCTGGGCGCTGTTGTGCATCCTGGTGCGGCCGATCCGAATGTCGTTCCGATTCCGTGCCGATGCGACTGGAGCCGACGCGCACTCCGATCCGATCGGGCTTCCCGATCCCGATTCTGCCCAGAGGTACGCCAACGACCTGGAGTTCTTCACGCGGCAGCTGGCGCTTGGCCTCAGGACAGCGATCTCCCCGATGGGACTGCTCGACACTCGAGGATCGAGCTCGACCTCGAGGATGTGGAATCAGGGACGGGAGATGAGAGATCGAGAGTCGAGGTTTGCTCTTCGAGGTTTTATTTTTTCAGAAAGGTGTTGACAAGGACTCCCAAACCTGGCCGTCACCCAGCAACCTGGCCCGGACACTGCCCGGACCCTGCCCAGACCTGGCCTGATCTGGCCTGGACTTGGCTCGGACCCGGCCAGGACCAGGCCGGCCCGGATCCGGCCTGGACCCTGCCCAGACCCCCCGCCCGGACCTGGCCCGCACCAGGCCGGCCCAGACCCAGCCTGGACCCGGACCCAGCCTGAACTTGGCCCGGACCCAGGCTCGGATCGATCAGTTGTTTTTCAACCTTACGACACGCATCCTCGCGAAGCGCATAGGGCGTCCTCGAGGGCGCTCTGCGGCCAATTGCACGTATCTTTGCAAAGTCGTGACGCCCGTGTTTGCCTTGGACGTGGGTCACGCGTTCCTCCGCGCGCGCATCTAGATTTCGAGTCTCGCCGCGCATTGAAAAGGTTGTGGAAGAACCGTGCTCTTACTTCTCCTCCCTTCTTATGATCTTCTGACTCATGAGTGGCGTCGTCCACTAGCGCTTTGCGTCGGCCCTTCTGCACTGGAGCTCCGGCGGAGAAGGCGTCGTCGCGCTTCCCGCTACAGGGAGGCCGCGCAATCCCCGCGCCGCAGCGGTTAACTGCGTCGCGCGCCCCCTGCAGGGGGGTTGCTGGTGGGGGGCGCTGCGCGTTATCGGCAAATTTGCAATCCACCAAGCACAATCGAAATCCCTGCACACGGGTCTCAACTGCACTTCGTCTGACTATCAAAGGAGGCCTCGCGGGAGCGCGACATCTTTTCGTGTCGGCTAGGTGGTGATGATGATGATGATGATGATGATGTTGATGTTGATGACAATGACGATGATGATGCTGATGTCGATGACGATGATTATGGTGATGATGATGATGATGGTGCTGCTGATGATGATAAGGATGATGACGATGATGATGATGGTGATGATGCTGCTGATGATGATGATGATGGTGATGATGATGATAATGATGGTGATGGTGATGGTGATAGTGTTGTTGATGGTGATGGTGATGGTGATGGTGATGGTGATTGTGATGGTGGTGGTGGTGGTGATGATGATGATGATGATGATGATGATGATGATGGTGATGATGATGGTGATGATGATGATGATGGGAAGGAGGAGGGAGAAACGGCGGGAAGAGGAGGAGGAAGAGGTGGATGAGGATCGGAAGGAGGAACGCGACTGCGGCGATGACGGCAAAAACGGTTCAGCCATAAAGGTTTCTTGCGGATACGGGACTTTCGCCCCGGGAGCTTCGTCGAGGCGCTTTGGACGCCTATCGGGCCCTTCTTGGAGCCAGCCTGGGCACCCTTGAAATCCTCATGGGGCTATCTTGGGGCACTCTTGGGAGTCGCCGGGGAATTTTTGTGGCCGTCGCCAAGGAGGGCATCGACCAACGAAGGGGAGGAGACATCGTTAGCGTCGCCCCGTTTGGAGCTCAAAAATTCGTCGCTTGGGGCCCTGTTGGGGCCCTCGTTGGACTTTACAGGGCCATCTTGAAGCCATATTGGAGCCAGCTTGGGGTTCCGGAAGCGATCGTGCGAGAACGCGGCAATCCTCAGCCTATCAGAAGCGAAAGGGCGAGAATGCAGCAATCATTCGTTCATTTTATCTTTGGGGTGCGTGCGCGCCTCTCGGGGGGCCTCCCGCGGAGGCCCCCTTGGCCGTTTGACGCCGTTTTGGGACCAGAATGGGGCGTCGTGGAGGCATCCTGGATATCATCGTGAGATATTTTTGGGTATGTCGGACGCTCGTGGAGGTTAAATTTCAACAGCCCGTGGAAGGGAGCGAACCCTCGGATTCCGCCAGCGAACGAAGGCAGGGGCCAGCCCCGGGCCTGGGTCGCAGGAAGGAACCCGGCCCCGGAGCCGGAGGGCGAGGAAGAAACAGGGCCGCCCAGAGGCTGGGCTCTCCTGCGAGGGTGTGTCCCGCGTTGGATGGGCGCCCGCTGGGAAGGGGCGGCGTCCGAGTGGGCGGGGGCTTCGACCCGCAAGACGGGGCCATGCCCGGCCCTGCAGGAGCGTGCGGCCCGCAAGCTCGGGCACTGCCGCTGGGAGGCCCCCCCCGCGCCGTTCCAGAGGTGGCTAGATAGCGAGGCACTTACCAGGAGCGATAACCAGAAGGAATGGCAGCATATCAAATTGGTGGCACCTCAGGAGGGGATGAGAGGGCGCTGAGAGGGGGGGCCGCACTCTGCCATCACCCACGTTACGCACTCCTTGTGGATCTCGACAAGGGTGCCTGCGTCAAAGTAAGGATGACAGCGGTGTACCAACGGAACCCGGGGGCGGAGTCTGGGTGCCAACAGAAGCCGCGGGGGGAACTCACTTAATCTGCGGAAGCACCCGAGGGCGCCCGCGGTGTGGCGGGGCGCGCTCTCGAGCCCGCCAGTGCTCGTTTCGGTGCCCGTTTGGTATGCAGGCCGGCCCGGGGGGGGGGGCCCGCCTCTGCGCTAGCCTGGGGCAGGCCCGCCTTGCCTTTGGCGCCAATGCGTTTGCGCGCGGGATGCGCGCGGTCAGTCCTGTGTGTGCCCCGCGCCGCGCTGTTCCTTCAGTAGGGGGGGGCCTGGGGGTCTGGCCTCGGGGGCGTGAGGGACGGGAGTCAAATTCGGACTCATCCCGAGCGTCCGACAAATCACCCGCTCCCCCGCCCCCCTCTCCTCGAGTCGCGCACCGGGCTTGTCAAGGGGAACTTGGCTCTGTTATGGGGGTTCCTCCCTTTAACTGGATAATTCCCCCCTGCCGTGCATCTCTCTCCTCCTCCCCCCCCCCTGTAGCCGTCTGGTTTGAGCGGCTGCTGCTCTCGCCCTTTTTCCACCCACCCGTCCCGCGCGTTTGTCCCCCCGCCAGGGCGGGGGCCCAATGCGGATTCATCCCGAGCGCCCGCCAAGATCGTCCGCTCCCCCGCCCCGCTCTCCTTGAGCAGTGCATCGGGCTTGTCCAGGGGATTTGGTATACACATATGTGTATAAAAACGCGCGCGCGTGCAGCAGTATATGCGCATGAACTGCATGCGCGCAGATGTGCAGGTTACTTCGGTCGACGAGTCGGTAGTTTTGTCTTGCTGGGACACTGTGCGCGCGTACGCGCGCGAGTGCGCGCGCGCGGCGGCGTCCACTTCTCGTGGGCCGCGCGAGGCTGAATGGCCATTATGTTGGCCCCCCAAATCCCAAATTTGCAATTCGTTTTTGTCGCGCGGTTTCGGGGGTGACACGTGTCACCCGTTGTGTTTGTGAGATAGAATGGCCTTATGTTGGCTTCAGAACCTTAATTTTCCCATTAGTTGTTCTCTCACGGTTGCGCGGGGGACACGTGTCGCCCGTTGTGTGTTTGTTTATGAAATTGGTTTGATGTTGAAATTCATTGTTTAAACCCGACGATTTCGGGGGAGACGTGCCAATGGGTGTTTTTGTGAGGCTGACTGGCCTTGTGTTGACTCCCAGAGTTCCAGGTTTACACCTATTTTTCTCACGCATTTTGGAGGGTGACACGTGTCACCCGTTGTTTTTGTGAGGCTGAATGGCCCTATGTTGATTCCCAGAATCAAACAACATACAATTGTTTTTCTCACGAGGTTTCGGGGGTGACACGTGCCACCCGTTGTTTGTAGTGAACGCAACTGTTGTTGTTTCCATTGCCTCAATCTTAGAATTGGTTTCCATCATATCGGAGGTGACTCGTGCCGCTTGTTATTTGGTGAAATGGAATGGTTTTCTGTTGGACTCGGAGCGTCAGGGCGGTCGCGGGGACGTCCCTGGCGGACCGCTTTGCCCCGTCTTCTTTTTGCTCTCTATATGTGCGCTACAGCGATGAGAATAGCGATTGTGTTTATTGTCCACCCATCTTGTTTTTTTACGACCGTTTTTACGACACTCTGATATCGGAGGGGGGGTGAGGACCAGCTCTGATATTTGAATGTCATGTTTTCGCCCGTGCTTGTTCCGTCCGCGCACACGCCTCGAGCATGATGCGCCAAACGAGCGCACTCCTATTGAGGTTGTGCCCTCTCGTATTGTATGTCCGCGAATTTGGCCCCACATGTATTATGCCAAACCCCACCGCATCGGGGAGTGGGGTCGCCATACAATCGTTATTGGGTGAGGACTGGGGTGTGTGGATACCATAGACAGGGCCACGAAATTCTAGACTCGTCGCGTAACCCCACCAGCCAATCCAGACACAACGCCCAGGCGAGTTGCGTTGATCAGCGATGTGGAGGAGCATGCAGTGGAATGGGCGGATGAGGAGGATGAGGAGGAAGAGAAGGAGAAGGGCAGCCACTCCAGAGACGATGCCCAGACAAGTTGCCATGATCAAAGACGCGGGTGAGCATACACAATGACACAGGTATGGAGAAACCGTCGTACCCCAAAAGGGGGAAGACGCAGGAGGAATCGAAGGAGGAGGATAAAGAACAAGGAGGAGGAGGACAACGAGGAGGAGGAGGAGGAGGGCGAGAAGGAAGATAACAAAGAAACGGAGGAAGGGGAAGAGGTCGAAGAGGAGGAATGAGGATTATAACAAGGGGAGGTTTGGGGGGAAGAGTAAAGGGAGGAGGAGGAGAAGGAGGAGGAGGAGGAGGAGGGGGAGGAGGAGGAGGAGGAGGAGGAGGGGAGGAAGAGGAGGAGGAGGGGGGGGGAGGAGGAGGAGGAGGAGGAGGAGGAGGAGGAGGAGGAGGAGGAGGAGGAGGAGGAGGAGGAGGAGGAGCAGGTGGGGGCGAGAGGGCATATTCAGAACGGAGGAGGAGGAGGAAGAGGAGGAGGAGGAGGATGAGGAGAAGGAGGAGGAGGAACAGGTGGAGAAGGAGGGGGGGGTAGAGGAGGAGGTGGGGGAGGAGGACGAGGAGGAGGAAAAGGAGGAGGGGAACAGGAGGAGGAAACGGGCGAACAGAAGAGCCAGAAACTTCTTGAATGCATCTCGGAGTCTCCTCGGATCTCGCTTGGAAGCTTGTTGGAGGCCCCTTGGGGCGTCCGGGGGGGGTATCTTGGCGGGCCCAGGGCCGTTTTTGAGCGTCTTGGGTGCCTCGGGCCTCTTCTTGAGACCTCTCGGGGGTCTAGGGAGCCTCTTGGAGGCCCTTGGGCGCCTTTCGAAGCCGTCTGGGCGCCTCTGGGGGCCTTCTTGGTGCGCTCCTGGGAGCTTGAAGGGCGCTTTTGGAGCCATCTTGGAAGACACCGATACAACAAGAGTGGATACTCACTATGCATTGCCCTTCTAGAGTGCCTACAATCGGGCGCTCTTGGAGAGCTCTTGGGGCCGTCTTGGGGCTCTCTTGGGCCCTTCTTGGGGCCCTCTTGGGGCCATCTTGATGCCTCGGATAGACATCGGAAACGACAATTCGCGAAAGCCAGAAACAGTAATTTGCCTTAGGTTGCTGAAGGGTGTTGGTCTCTTGGGGGCCTCCTTGGGGAGCTCTTTGAGCACTTGGAGCCTTTTTGAGGGGGTCTTGGGGCCTCTTCGGGCATCTTGGAAGCCATCTTGACCGATATTGCGCTACCTGGAGCCATCTTGGAGGCGACCTTGTACTCTCTGAGGCCCTCTTTGAGCCATCTTGGGCCATCTTGGACGCTCCAACTACCCGCGACCACCCCCGTCCAAGTCCAGGGGAGGGGGTAAGGGGGAGGGGTAAACCCATCCCCGAAGGGGAAGTAGGGGGTTGGAAGAGAAAGCTCCGCAGACCACCTACGCCCAGGCGGCTGTAGGGGTTTCCCAGATTTCATGGGCCCTTCCTCTTCCTTCACCACGCCCTATAGCCCCCCCCCGCTCGTCCGTGCACACGCCTCGGGCCATGGTGCGCCACCACCACCCCTTTTCCTAGCCCCCCCCTTGGACACACCCGGAGGTGTCAGGGGCGCCGAAGAGGGGGGGGGGCGCAGGCGTCTTCTCTCGTAGAAGAACAAGAAGAGAAAATAAGAATGATGATACTTCTTACCACAACAACAATACTAATCGTAGTAATGCTAATACTAATACCACTACTAACGCTACTAGTGCGAATAATAATGCGAGTAATAATAATGATAATACTGATAATAATAATAATAATGATGATAGTAGTAGTAATAATAATCATCATGATAATAATAATACTAATAATAATAATAATACTAATACTGATACTAATAATAGGAAGAATATGGAAAACACTTTTGAGGGCCCGCGCGGATCTATTTGATCTGCGCTGGGACCCCTGGCGTTTCTGGCGCCGCCCCTTGCGCGCTCCGTGCTTTTGGGAAGGCGGTCCAGCCACTTGGGCCAAGATTCAAGACATCCAGGCGGGCCTTCGAACATGTCCTGGCGCGCCTCGGGGTCGCACCCAGAGATGGGGTCGGAGGATCGCGCTGCATCGCCGATGCATCGGCGAGGCTGTACGGTCCTCGGGCCCATGCATCGACAAAGTCGGAGTGCATGGTGCCTTGGGCCCCCCCACCCGCCGTGAAAAGTGCCGAGGATGCCAGTGACGGTGGAGCCGCCGTACCTCCCCGTGGACTTGCAGGCGGTTTCGCCGGCCGCGGTCCTCGATTGGGTAAGACGGCCAATCATTGTTATTTGGTGTGTCGCCCCGCTGGTTTTGGCCAACCATGCTTCAGCGCGACACGCAAATCATGGTCTAGTTCCCGAACGAAAGTTTACCAGCCTCCTTTCCCACGGAGCATAGCGACACGCTATCACCGAGCAGCGCATGATGTGGGAGGGCAAGAGCCACCGCGCTGCCGCGACACCCTAAGCAACAGTTCCTCATCGTACGCCCTTCCCCCCAGCCAGATCTGGCCCATGCATTCGAAACCGGTATTTAAACTTTTAGGGATCCGCGCGGGTTGTCGTGTGTCCGCGGTCAAGTATGCCCATCGGGGCGCCTCCAGCCCCACCGGGTGGCGCGTTTCGCGCGTCAGGGGAAGGAGGTCCAGCACCGACCTAAGAAATCCTCGCGGACCTCAGAAAGTTTACGTTTATGGTTATAAGGTTATGCATTTTCCCAATCATTTTGTGGTGTTGGGTTCTCGTTTTGAAGAGACGGTCCCCGCGTTCCTCTTCTCTCCTCTTGTCCTCCTCCCCGCCCTCCTCACTCCTCCCGTCACCCCACTCACTTTGGCACACCCCTCACACGCTTCGTGGCCCCATAGGGCCTATAGGGAGCTCCAGCGAAGTTCCAAGTGGGACCGCCCGCATGCGCCCTCCCCCCACCCAGTACAGCGTTTCGTGGCCCCATAGGGAGTTCCACCGAAGGCCCCAGTTGGGGTGCCCGCATGCGTCCGCCACACCCAGTACAGCGTCGCGTGGCTTCATAGGGAGCTCCACCGAAGGCCCCAGTGGGGGTGCCCGCATTCGCCCGCCACGCCCAGTGCAGCGTTTCGTAGCCCCATAGGGAGCTCCACCGAAGGCCCCAGTGGGGGTTCCCGCATGCGTCCGCCACACCCAGTACAGCGTTTCGTGGCCCCATAGGGAGTTCCACCGAAGGCCTCAGTGGGACCGCCCGCCTGCGTCCGCCACACCCAGTAATTACAGCTTTTCATGGGCCTATAGGGAGATATTCAGCGAAGGTCCCAGTGGCACCGCCCGCATGCGCCCGCCACAACCAGTACAACGCTTCGTGGCCCCAAAGGGAACTCCAGCGAAGGCCCCAGGTGGACCGCCCGCATGCGTCCGCCACACCCAGTACAGCGCTCCGTGACCCCATAGGGAACTCCAGCGAAGGTCCAAGTGGGACTGCCCGCATGCGCTCCCCCCACCCAGTGCAGCGTTTCGCGGCCCCATAGGGAGCTCCACCGAAGGCCCCAGTGGGGGTGCCCGCATGCGTCCGCCACACCCAGTACAGCGTTGCGCGGCCCCATAGGGAGCTCAACCGAAGGCCCCAGTGGCACTGCTGCGTCCCCCCCCCACCCAGTACAGCGTTGCGTGGCCCCAAAGGGAGCTCCAGCGAAGGTCTCAGTGGGACCGCCCGCATGCGTCCTCCCCACCCAGTACAGCGTTTCGTGGCCCCATATGGGGGCTCCACCGAAGGCCCCAGTGGCACCGCCCGCATGCGTCTCCACAACCCACTACAGCGCGTCGCGGCCCCACAGGAGCTCCACCGAAGGCCCCAGTGGGACCGCCCGCATGCGTCCCCCCACCTATTACGGCACGCCTCATCACGCGTGGCGTGGCACACCAGAACAGGCACCCACAACGCGTTCTTCACAACTACATATGGTTGGGTCCTTCGCCCGGATAATTTAATGAGGGTGCACAGCGCCTGGAACCCGACAAGATGCCAGATCATTTCTGGACCCGAGAGGCAGGAGGTGCGCAGAGGATGCCCAGCACCGAAGGATGCAAAGGGTACCCTGCTTCAACAGATTATCCTTAACTCTTGCTTTAAGTGCACCCCTCCCGCCTCCAATCCTTTAACTACTCCGATTGGCTCTGAATTTCATGCCATTCCTCACATCTAGGCCTATTCGTGGCCGAGGCTCGCTGTGGCCAGAAAAGCCCATTCGGCCCTTTGTTAGGCGTTCCTCGTGGCAGCACGATGGCTGTACCCATCATGGTGGTGCCACGGAACCAGAGAACTGCACGCGGCCGAGGGAAGAGAGCACGGTCGATGTCGGCGTTGGCCGTCAGGCTGCAGTCCAGTAGCGTGAGGCAACAGCGACGTGCATTGTTTGTCCAGTCCACTATTTCGCCATGATCGGAGCCCGATGCCCCACCCTGCCCAGGGACGTGCGGCTTCGCTATGGGGAGCCTATCGCGGGTTCATCCGTGATGTTTTGCCGATTCCAGCTCGATGTTCCCCTGAGCCAGTCCCACGTATCGGTGCCCCTCGCCATTTCGCCATGAAGCAGACGGGTCCCGAGGGAAACGGGTCCTGAGTTTTCAGCCGTTTGAAGGCTTCGGAGTCCAGGACTTCCCTCCCTCAGGACGCGCTGACTTCATGCCAGTTATGGTTTTGCCCGATGAGACATGCGGCTTGCCTGAGGGTTTCTGGATTGCTTTGTGAACAGACACGCTGTCCCGTTGCTGTTGGCCGACTGGTTCCTCGCGGCTGTCGCCAGTTCTTTCGCGCAACGTCTCTGTGATGCTATGCTAGGGCCATGCGAATGCGATAGCTAGGGGTATACGCACGCCATGGTATGGTATGATTGGTTGATGGTCTGCCATGTCATGCTATGCGAATGAGTTGTTCGTTATGCTATGCTAGTGCTCCGAGTGGCTATACAAGGCGCTACGCCATGTTAAGCTAAGCTACGATGTGCAATGATAACCAACGGAATACCCTGGTATGCCACGCTAGGCCATGTTACGCCAGTCTACGCCGTGCTGTTCAACGCTATGCTATGTCTTCGATCATGTACGGCGCTGGTGTGTTATGACATTATATGTGGTGTTATGCAATGTTCTGGTTGACTGCGTTATGGTTTGTATCGCATGACGCCTCATTGCATTTATCGAACGTATATTCCGTATGCAAGAATCGTATCCCAAACATGGGCCGCGCCAGGTTCATACGTGTCACTGGGGTTGAGGCCCCTGGCAGCTGGGAGCAACGAAGGTGGACCGAAGCGCTGGAGACAGGCAACTTACTAGACACAACCACCAGCCCTCGCCTGGTCTATCCCCCGAGCCCCTAGACCTGTGCACAACCAGACCTCCTCGCGCCGCAGACTGCTCTTGCGGTCTTTCACACTCTCCCGCCAGAAGTCACCCAGGAGCCACCTCCGTGTCTGACTATGGCCGTCCTGGGCCCCAGGATGCTGTACAGGTCTCCTGGCCCCGTGCGGAAGGTCCAACGTACCACATCGGGGACCGAGATGGCATCGTTCAGGCGAGGATATGATGCTGTGGGTTAAACATACGAAACGCCTTCTGAGTAACATACGTTGAAGCTCTCTGCGAGCGTGCTCGCCACAGCGGTCGGGGCGGCGGCGTTCCTTCGCCTACCGCTCGGCGAATGGGACACCCGGCGCCGCCAGGCTGAGACAAAGATAGAGAGAGTGTCCCCGCAGGTCCTGGCCGCGGCCTTCGTGGGCCCGCGCGCGCCCGCGCCGCGGGGATTCAGCCGGCGCAGCCGCCGGCCTCTCCGAGCGAGGGCGGCGCGCGGGGCACCGGCTTGGCGGTTCCTGTGACAAAGGGCGCCGCGGTCTCCCTCGGCCGTGGGCCGCGCGCCATCCCGTGGGCGTGGCCTGTGGGGCAGCGCGGAGACAAAGAGCATGCGCGCGCTCCTCCCTCAGTCCCCAGGCCTCCGACGATACGATTTGGAGAGGCCTTGCGGCTGGTTCCGCCGACCCCGAAGGGCGACCAGGAGGCCCTGAGAAGGCCGCGAGGGAGCCGAGAAGCGCACGAAGGCAGGTCGGCGATCATCCCAGAACGGCTCCGGCAGCTCCTCGAGACTGCTGGAGAGACCCGGCACCGTGCCACATCCATAGAAGATGTTGGCGAAGCACCACCACCCCCTGCTTTTCGGAAACGCCTATGTGGCCAAACGAGCTATTATTTGACGTGTTACCCCAGCCATTGTGGAAACCCTTGGGGGAACACTTCTGGAAGCGAGAGGGGAGCAGGAGGAGAGGTAGGAAAAGGAGGAGTGGGAGGAGGAGGAGGAGGAGGAGGAGGAGGAGGAGGTGGAGGAGGAGGAGGAGGCCTCTTGCGGGCATCTGAGGGTCTCTTGGGGACTTGGGGCCTCCTGGTGGCCTCTTGGGGGCATTTGCGGCTCTTGGGTTCTCTTGTAGGCCTCTTGGCCTTCGGATGCCCTCTTGCGGGCACCTCTGGGCCGTCGTGGGATTCTCGTTGGGTGCTTTAGGGCAGTCTTGAAATTCTGTAGGCTCGTCTTGGGAGCCCGTTGGGCCGTCTTGGGACGATCGTGGGGGCCTATGGGGCTGTGTGAGCGTCGGAAGCCCGAATAGGCGAGAACGCAAAGATTTGTTGAGCATCACAGTAAGATCAATGGTTTGGGCCTGCTGGAGGTCTTCTTGGAGGCCTCTCGGGCCGTCTTTGGGGCCTCTTGGGCAGTCTGGAAGATATCTTACTTAGGCCGTCTTTGAACCATCCTGGCCGTCTTGGAGTCGTCTTGGGACCGTATTGGAGGCCATCTTGGGCCATTTGGGAAGTCTTGGAGGCTATCTTGGAGCCATCTTGGGCTAGTTGGGCAGTCTTGAAGGCGATCGGGTGGCTGGCGCTATCGGCCAGCACCCCACTGGGAGCATTTTGAAAGGGCCAAACAACCAAGCATCCAGCACGTCATGCACCCCTTGGCGAGCCAGACGAGGCGGAGGATCGAAGACGCCTACGGCGAATCACCGCCGCCCCCTGCCTTTGGGAATCTCTCATGTGGCCGAGCGTTGTGGAAAGAGGTCTGCCGAGCCATCGGACCATGTACTCCCCCAGCCGTTGTGGAAACCCTTCGGGGAACGCTTGGGGTGAGGATGGCAGGGAGGAAGGAGGAGGAGGAGGAGGAAGTGGAGGAGGAGGAGGAGGAGGAGGAGAAGGAGGAGGAGGAGGAGGGGGCATCTTGGGAGCCGCTGGGGGCACTCTTGGGGCCTCCTGGGAGCTTCCTGGGAGCCTATTGGAGGCATCTTGGGGGCGTGCCTTCTTGGGTCTCTTGGGGGTCTTTGGGGGCTTCTCGGGGGCCACCTTGCCCGTGTTCGGGCGTTCCTGGCCTGTCTGACGCCGTCGGAAGCCGTCTTGGGGGCCTTTCTGGGCCATCTTGGGCGTCTTGGAGGCCTCTTGGGGCGTCTCGGAGCCCTCTGGGGGGCCGTCTTGGGGACCTCTTGGGCCGTTCTGGAGCCATCTGGGAGGCCTCTTGGGATATTTTGGGGCTCTTGGGCCGCCTCGGGCCGTCGGGAGGCCGACAAGAACAAAATACCACAATCCTTCAAATATTCAGGAAAAGCAGAGATTTCCGAATCGTCGGGCCATCTTGGAGGCCTTTGGGGGGCCTCTTGTGTCGTGTGCACTTCGCAGCCACGCCGGGAGCCGCGAGGTCCCAACTTGGTCTCCGTACCACTCCACACTTCTAGAGTTCCCATGAGCCCACGAAAGCGGCGACAGCTGCGCACTTCGTAGCCACGCTGGGAGCCGCAAGGTCTCAACTGGGTCTCCGTACCACTCCACACCGCTGGAGTTTCCCAGAGCCCACGAAAGGGGCGACAGCTGCGCACTCCGCAGCCAGGCAGGGAGCCGCGAGGTCACACAGGGGTTTGCGCCCCATTCCACGCCGCTGGACCTCCCAGGAGCCCACGAAAGCGGCGACAGCTGCGCACTTCGCAGCCACGCCGGGAGCCGCGAGGTCCCAACTGGGTCCGCGTACCACTCCGCCCCGCTGGACCTCCGAGTGGCCCACGAAAGTGGCGACAGTTGCCAGTTGCGCACTCCGCAGGCACGCAGAATACCACGAGGTCTCGACGTAGTGTTGGCTCTCCGAGGAGCCTATGAAAGTGGCGACAGGCAGGGCCCCGCGCGAAAGTGGCCAGGCGGCGTAAGCAGGACGAAGAAGAGAAAGGAGAAGGGAGAGAAGGAAGTGGAGACAGGAGGCAGGAAGTAGGAGGCAGGATGTAGGAGGGGGGGGATGACGGAGCAGTGGAGACCCCAGTGCTCTATCCAGAACGAGAACCAAACACAGGAGGGTTGAGAAACGCAGTTCAATGTTATCGCGTAGTGCCCGCGCATGCTCCAGAGTTTGCCGAAACGTGTATATATATATATATATATATATTGTACTGTTGTTGACAGGGGTGGTGGGTGTTGTCATGATTTTGGGTTCGCCCCCGGTCAGGTGGTGGAGGGAGTATGTATGTACTCATAGATCAGTAACATTGATGAGCCCCTCCCCGAAGGGGAATAAGGGAGTTGGAAGAATATTCACCCTAAACCACCTGCGCCCCAACGGGCTGGCGGAATTCGCATCCGCCATCACATGTTGCGTTTACGCATTTCGTTGTATTGATGTGCGGACTCTCTGCGTTGCATTGTGTTGCCCCGCGTTGTTTTGCATTTTTTCGCATTGGCAACGCGTTGCATCTGGATTGCGATGCGTGTTTTGTTTTCGTTGCTGTGCGCTTACTTGTCCGTGGATAGGCTTCTCTCTTCGGCGCCGAACGCTGTCGACGACGCAGTACCAGTACTGCTGGTGCTGCACATGCATATATGATTAATGTCGGCTGCAGGGTGGGGCGCCTAGGGCTACCAGACAGGCGCTCGCGTTGAGTGGCAAAGTTGGTCAGGCGGCCTCCCCAGGGCCTCGGGGCGCAGCTCGGGGAATGTTGCCATGGACGAGTCGACGACGCAGCACTGCTGGTGCTACACGTGCATGTCAGCTTCGAGCCAGCTGCAGGGTGGTTGCTCCAACTCCATGGGCCACTATGCCCTGAAGGGCTGCGCCCTCTACCGCCGGCCCCCCAGGCTGAGCCATCTTGTGGATTCCCCTCGCGTCGCGGAGTTCGCGTCCAGAACGCCCCACTAAAGTCTGAGCGCTGCGCCCGCCCGCTCCCTTTCCTTCTCCTCCTCTCCTTCTCTACTCGCGTTTCCCCGTTCCCTCCCCTCCGCCTGAATTCATAGTCTTGCTCCGCTTCTTGCTCCTGTACCGCTTCCTCTTCCTCTTCCTTCTTGTCTTGTTGCTCCTTCTCCTCCTTCTCCTCCGTGAGGGTTTGATTGCTGATCAAAGTTTGCCGCCGTCACAGCAGCGATTATCTGCCCAATCCTTTAAGCCTGTCGTTGTCTGTGCCATCAGACGACGTTGCAGTCGGTGCCCAGCCTTCCTCTTGGGGCCTATTCTGCACCCTCCTGGGGGCTTCTAGAGGGCCTCTGGGGTGTTTCTTGGGAGCCCTTATGGCCGTCTTGGGCTGCCATGGGGCCCTCTTGGGTCGTCTTGCCTTCTTGGGGTCTTCTTGGCTGGCTTTGGGGTTTGGGGGGACTCTTCGGGCCCTCGTGGACCGTCTTGGGGCCATCTTGAACAGTCTTGGGGCCGTCGTCGGGGCCTCTTCGGTCATGTTGGGGTCCCCTTGAGGCTCTTTTCAGGGCATCTCCGGGCCATCTTGGGGGCATCTTGTGCCATCTTGGTTTTCTGGAAGCCCAGATTGGCGAGAATGCTAACATGCCTCCAAATCGCGGAACATCAGCGATTTTGGCTTCTGGGGGTCTTCTTGTGGGCCCTCCACTCTAAAGTGAGCTGGGATACAGGCGAGAGGTTACGAGCGTGTGTCCGCGGCCGTTTGTGCTCAAGCGGCCAGCCGCCCAGATCTGACTACACCTCAGTGCGAGGTGTACCATTTGCCGTCGAGACCAAAACATCCTTTGCTTGAAATGGTTCGTCGCTTCCGCGCTGATCTCCTACTACTGGGACTATCGTTGCGACGGTACAACAGAGCTGGAGCTGGGCTTTGCTCAAGGCGAAGCTGCGGGCTGGGCTTACCAACCCCTTTCAAACATGGTAGCGGAGCTGGCCTATGGTGGTCAGCTCTTGCTATATTCCTCACCGTCCACTGCATTATCTGGTAGACTACTGGCACGGTGGAACATCAGGGTGCAGTGGGTCTACGCGGAGAAATGTGCATAACTACCCACAGCCGCAAGGACACTTGCAGTGATACATCTGCCCACGCAAAGGCCTCCTATTCGAGTCCTACATCCCTGCGCTACTACACTCCTGACGTCCACCCACTATTCAAATTGGGAACTTTTTTCGAATATACAATGCATGGAAGCATGCGATACGACATTGTGCCGCCTCCACCACCACGCAGGCTTACGACCGCACACCACAAACCCCAACCAACCACCTCCGACTACGACCTATGCGTTGCCATCGGGTGTGCGGTGGGACACATGCGTGGCGGAGACGACGCAAGAACAACTGGCCCCCACTGGGACCCGGCCGGTCAAGTACCTTTCCGCGAATCCGCTCGCGAGGTGCATGCCAGGATCAACGTGGCCACAGGCACCATGACGCCCTCCCAACAAGCTGCAGCACTGCATTGAGGCTTGGGGGGCCTCGCACGGACCATAGCCATGAAAGTTCCCCCAGCAGTTACCCATTCCGGCGTTAACATAGGTGGCCGCCATACCGATGGCGTCACCTACATCATGTTCTTGTTGAGCACGAAGTTCGAGAACCTAGAAGAGGAACGCCAACTCAACTCTGGTACAGCTCTCATTGGCGTCCGAGCCCATGCGGGGGAATGGATCGACCAGATGTTGGCACGCTTCGAGATAGCCCGCTATGAAGCTGAAACGGCAGGCCTTAACATCCCCAGTTTCCAAATTCTGACAGTTATTCGATTCAGAGCCCTAGGAGTGGGGACGTCGCGTGCTCAACAATTTCTACAGCCACTAAGCCACCGCATGCCGAGGGACCAGCCAGCAGCAGTTTGACCCATCTGCTTGCACGCATGAGGTCATATGCCCACATCGCTGAGAGGACCCCATGCAATATTGGTGGTCTCTTCAGCCACGGTCACCGTGCCGAGACCTTTCACGCTGAAGCTAACGCAGGGCAACCTGCTACCAACGTCTGGAACGACGGTCCACAACCAACGGACATCACCACACTATTACCTCAAAATGGTGGTTCGGCCCGGGTTTGCTCGAGCTCGCCCGAACTCGGGTCTGCCTACGTTTTTGGACGAGACCGTCCTGGATTTTGACCGTCCAAACTTCAGACTGGGTCTCATCATTGTCTTGACGGCTCCGTCAAGCCAATCCGAGTCTCCCGAACCCGAGTCTTACGTCTCCCCGACCCCAGCCCAACAAACATTCGTATGTTTGTAAAGCAGTAGTACGCGCCTCGTCGACGAGGCGGAAAGCGGCGGCAACCCTTGCGCCAGCATTCAATGTCGAGGGTCGCCAGCAGTCCAGAGTCGGCCGATTTCGAAAGATCGTTCAAGGTTGAAGAATCTACGAGGCGTTTGAAGCCAAGGCGCAAGTCGTCATTGCTTGGACTTACCGTACTTCATGTTTCCATTGGTATTCCAGCAATGCTTCACGGCAGAGTTTTCGTGAGGCACCAGTGCTCGAGGAGGCAGTCGGTCGTTCGCAGTCGCCCGTTCGCGCGCGCGGCGAGGTCCTCCTGAAGAGAGTCATCGTCGGTCCAGGGGAGGACATCTACGAGGGCTTTCCTCCAGGACGTCATCATCAGCTGACGCCAGATGCCCCTTCAGTCGGAGGAGCAAAAGAGACCGATGCCACTAACCGTCCCTCGTCGCCACGGCAGGGGTCACTTCGTACCTCGGAGGAGGTCCGTGGAGTAGTGGCAGCGGTATCTTTTTGTGCCCCCACTCATCCTCATTCTGTGGCGCTAGCGTTTGCCGCTGCACGGACTTATCCTCGAAGCGCCTTGCCGTGCCTTGCGCCAGCGCGCCCAGTATGGTGGAGGCCAATCACCCTCACTTCGGAAACTGGCATGTGAAAGACCTGGAGAGTTCCTGACACGGGATTTGAGGGCCACGGCTTTCGAGGCCCAAGAACAAATCAGCACAATCATGCGTTAGGGGAGGTTCGCGTCGATTTTTGTTCGCCGGCGTTGGATCCTGTGGCCCGATAGCAGTCATGCCCCGCGCGCATCTGGGTTATTGCTTCGCACCATATGGGCACGGTGATCGGATGTGTTAACCTCTGCACCACATCAATCACGACAATGACAGGTGCGACATGAGCTTCTGCTGCAGAACTCTCTGGCACTGCCACGCCATGTCATGGGCGCGCGTACGGTCGGCTCATGGGTTGCCGCATGCGCTAGCTACTCCATCGCCAGTGCTCCTTCCATGCCTTGCCTATTTTTGTCCGCAGCCATTCGTGATTTGCGCTCCAGGTTTCAATTTGTGCACGTGGTGTTGTCAATTTGCGGGTGCCGCGATGTCGATCGTTCCGCCATTGGCCGCGCTGGCTGGGGCTGGAATCCCGAAGTTGATCCTCGACGTCTTGCCGTCGCTGTCGCCTTTCAAGTGCTTGCTTGGCTCCGTGTTCCTTTACAACAGCCCTCACATGGTCATGATGTACCTGAAGCAGAAGGCCTCCAAGCATATGCCGAACAATACGAATCCACGCGGCCAGACAGAGGAGCTGAAGAAGGATAAGGAGGTCGGCGAAACCTTGCAGCGTGCCCAGGCTGCACATCAGAACGGCCTCGAGTCGTTTCCTGTCTTCGCCGCAGGCGTGATGGCCTGCTTTGCGTCTGGCGCCGACAGGCAGACTGTTGGAAAGATCGCAACGGCTCACTTGCTCAGCCGCGCTGCTTTCAACGTTTTCTACATAGCACTCCCGCCGACAGACGCAGTGGGAGTGTGTCGGTCCCTCAGTTGGATCGCCTCGCTTCTCTCCTCGTGCCAGCTTATCGCACTGGCAGCTTCGAAATCCGGCTTCTGAGACGGTCGTTGCAGCAGGCGCGGTCGGAGTCGGTTTTGCATCCGCGTGACTGAGGCCTTGTGCGGGACATTTCGCGAGGCGGTGTAATGGTTCGATGAGCTGAGCATGTGGTGAAACTTTTCCTTGTCCCACTGGGGAGGAGGATGGGGGAGGAGGGTGTGGGGAGGATGAGGTGCAGGAGGAATAGAAGGACGTTTGGACGGTCAGTGCTGGGAGTGCGGCCGTGCCAATCTTACAGGGGGTCTGTACATCTCCGTACCTAGATCCTCGCTTCAATTCGGGCCCCTTGAACAACTTAGTTGTCCTCTACGGACGTCATGGGTGGGGGGAGGGGGCCAGTAACGTCACGATTTGCGTCGGCACCATCTGGGAGCTAGTTGCCAATATCCATTGCCGGAGCGGCCCAGCGGCCGTGACGTCACGCGCGCGCACACGCGCATACGCGCACATGCGCACGCGCGCGCACGCGCACACGCGAACACGCGCACATGCGCATGTGCGCACGCGCGCACTCGCGCACACGCGCGCACGCGCACGCGTTCGCGCGCACACGCACGCGCGCGCACGTGCACGCGCTCACGCGCACGCGCTCACGCGTTTTCGCGCGCGCGCTCGATGGCGTAAAAACGCACACGGGCACCCGCGCACAAGCGAACAAGGCGCACAAGCGCACAAGCGCACACGCGCAAACGCGCACACGCGCGCACGTGCACACGCGTACACGTGCACACGAGCACACGCGCACACGCGGGCACGCTCACACGCGCACGCGCACGGACGCGCGCACGCGCGCACACGCGCACACGCGCACACACGCATGCGCGCGCACGCACGTGAGCAGATAGGAACGACCAGTATTAAACTGATTGTTATTGTTGTTGAATACTCATTTGTAAAACATATTTGTTTGCTGATCTCCGGAATCAGTTCCGCGCGCTCTCGCCTCGACGCCGGCTACACTTTCTCTGAAAACGAGGCTCCGGCGCGAGCGTTGGCTTGAGTGTAAATGTTGGCCATTGGAGGCCCGGCTATGACGATAGCGGATCCCGCTCGAGACTTCCTGATAATTTACTCCGAGACACCCTGGCCAGACATGGCACCCGAACTCAGGAACGGCGCTTTCGCTCGAGACTTCCTCGCAATGCAGTCGAGTTGGCGGAGGCCCAGCCACGACGACAAGGGCTCCTGCTCGATACATCCTCACAATTTACTCCGAGGGACCCTGGCCAGGAAGGCCCCCGAACTCAGGAACGGCGCTCTCGCTCGAGACTTTTTGACTTAAGGGTTCTCGTTCGATACTTCCTCACGGTATTTGCAAAGGCCCTTGCCAGAGAGGCACCCGAACTCAAGAGTGGCGATCTCGCTAGAGATTTTCTCGTAATTCAGGCAAGTTCGTGGAGGCCCAGACACGGCGATAATGGTTCCAGTTCGATATTTCTCCATATGTATTCCGAGAGCCCCTGGCCAGAGATGCCCCCGAACTCAGGAACGGCGCTCTCGCTCGAGAGTTCCTCGCACGTCAGTCAGTGGCCGGCAAGGAAGTATTACCCCCAAGGGGGTCCAATCGAAGACGAGGTGGGCGGGTATCGAGGGTTGGCGTATACAGAATGCAAGACAAGCGTGCCAGTAAGAGCAACACATATTCAATTGATTGTTGAATTCTCATTCCCAAAGAATTATTATTGTTGATCCCCCCTCACCGGTGCATGCTGTTTTGTCTTAATCAAAGTGTGCACCTCGACGCTCGCACCTTGTTTTTTGTCAGGGAAAGTCTTGATGCTCAAACTGTACCCCTGGCCCCCGGGTTGCAACAACAACGGCTCCCGCCTGAGACTTCCTCACAATTTAGCCAGGACCCCCGCTCCCGCCCGAGACCTCCTCGCATTTTATTCAGGAATCGCGCTCTCGTTTGGGACGCCCTTACAATGTATTCACGAATCACTCTCCCGGCGCTCTGGAGTCGCGCTCTCGCTGGAGACTTGCTAGCAATTTACCAAAGAATAGCGCGTATGCGTTGTTTTTTTGCAATTTGCTCAAGCGCCGCGCTCCCGACACCCAGGCAACCAGGAGTCCCCCCCGTTGTGGCCCCATGTGCATGCCCTTCGTGGCCCCGCTGTCGCCGTTTTTTGGCCCCCTCACTGTCCTACGTGGCCCAGCTGCTACCCTCAGAGGCCCCATCGTTCGTTGCCTTCTGTGGCCGCACATTATCTGCCCTTCGTGGCCCCCGCTCGTTCGTGCTCTTCGTGGCCCCATACGCATACCCTTCGTGTCCCCGCTGTCGCCCTTCGTGGCCTACTTCCTGTCCTTCGTGGCCCTGCTGTCGTTCTCTCTCACTCTCGCTTTCGCTCGTCGTCGCCGTCGTCGTCGACGTCGTCGTCGTCGTCGTGGTCGGTCCCCTGTCGTGGGGTCGGGTCAACGGTCCGCGGCCGCCCCGCCGATCAGCGCTGCCGCTGGCCAGGCCGACGGTCCGCGGCCGCCCCGCCGCTTGCCGGGGCCCGGCCTGCAGGGAAGAAAGGTCGACCCCCCAAAAAGGGTTCGATCGAAGACGAAGAGGGTGGGTATCGAGGGTTTGGGGACTACGTGTTGTTGGACTCTCGAGCAGATAAGGGCGAACAGTCTTAACATCATTGTTGTTGTTGTTGTTGTTGACTTCTCACTTCTGCATTCTAATTCTAGCTGGTACCCACTCTGGTAACACGTGCGTTTTTCAATTGAAATGCCCCTCCTGTGGCTCACACCCTGTTTTTTATCGAGGAACGTCTTCCTCAAACTGCGTTGTTGGCCCCCGGTTTACAATCAACATCGGTTCCCGCCTGAGGTTTCTTCGCAATGTATTCTCAAATCGCGCTTTCGCGCGGGACTTCCTCACAATGTATGTACGAATCGCGCTCTCGCTTGGGACTTCCTCGCAATCCATTCAGACGTTGTGCCCTCGGCGCTCAGGAATAATGCTTTCGCTTTGGCTTCTCCCGCGATCTACTTCGGAAACGTGCTGTCGGTTGAGACTTCCTCGCGATTCATACAGTAATCACGCTTCAGCAACCCGCCTGCTCGACCTGGTCGCTTGTGCCCGCCTTCCAGACCTGCCCGCGATGGGTCTGCCCACCCGATCTGCCCGTCTGGTTCTACCAGTTGTTTTCTGCTCCTTGCCCCCTCTCCTGCTAATTTCTTTCGTGTTCCATTATTCTCCTTCCCCCTTCCGCACGTCCTCTCTTCCCCTGTTTTAGGGGCTGCGCCAAATGCGCGTGGCACGTAAGGAAGATCGACCCCCAAAGTGGTACGATCGAAGACGAAGAGGGCGGGTACCGAGGGTTTGGTACACACGTGTGGAATGACCAGCGGAGAGGTAAGATCGAACAGTCTTACAATCATTGCTGTTGCTGTTGAAGCCTCACCGTTGAAGAGTAAGTATTGTTGATCCCCCCTCTGGTGGCGATTGCGTTTTTCAATTGAAGTGCTTCTCCCCGGGCGCGCAACGCACTTTTTTACCAAGGCAAGTCACGGGGCTTAAACTGTGTTGGTGGCCCCCGGATTACAACAACAACGGCTCCCGCATGCTATTTTCCCACAGTTTAGCCCGGACCCCCCGATCCCGCCTGAGACTTCCTCGCGCTTTAGTCCGGAATCGCGCTCTCGTTTGGGTCTTCCTTGCAATTTAGTCATGAATCGTTCTCTCGGCGCTGTGGGGTCGCGCTCTCGCTGGGGACTTGCTTGCCATGTGTTCAAGAATCGTGCCCTTGCGCTGGGATTCCTTGCACTTCACTCAAGCGCCGCGCTCCCGACACTCAGGCACCCAGGAGTCGCGCTCACGCTCAGGACCCCCTTCGCAGTTTTGATTTCGAGTTCGGGATCTCGCTGCCCTTCATGGCCCCGTTGCAGCCCTTCGTGGCCCCCTCGCTGCCCTTCGTGGACCCGTTGTGGCCCTTCGTGGCCACCGCGCTGCCCTTCGTAGCCCCGTTGCAGCCTTTCGTGGCCCCCTCGCTGCCCTTCGTGGCCCCGTTGTACCTTTTCCTGGCCCCCTCGCTGCCCGTCGCGGCCCCGTTGCAGCCCTTCGTGGCCACCTCGCTGCCCGTCGTGGCTCCGTTGACCTTTTCATGGCCCCCTCTTTGCACTTCGTGGCCCCGTTGCACCCCTTCGTGACCCCTTCGCTGCTCTTCGTGGCCCCGTTGCAGCCTTTCGTGGCCCCCTCGCTACCCTTCGTGGCCCCATATCCATATGCCCTTCTTGGCCCCCGCTCGTTCGCGCCCGTCGCGGCCCCATACGCATGTGTTTCGTGACCCCGCTCTCGCCCTTCGTGGCCCCCCCGCTGCCCTTCGTGGCCCCGGTGCTGCCCTCAGTGACCCCGTCCTTGCCATCAGCGGCCCAATATACGTATGCCCTTCGTGGCCCCTGCTCGTTCGCGCCCGTCGTGGTTCCGAATGCATGCCCTTCGTGGCCCCGCTGTCGCCCTTTGTGGCCCCCGTCGCTGTCCTACGTGGCGCCGTTGCTACCCTCAGTGCCCCTGTCGTCCGCGCATTATCTGCCATTCGTGGCCCCCGCTCGTTCGCGCCCGTCGTGGACCCAAACGCATGCCCTTCGTGGCCCCGCTGAGCCTGTCGCCGTTCGCGGCCCCCTCCCTGCCCTCCGTGGCCCCGCTGTCGCTCTCGCTCTCGCTTTCGTTCGTCGTCGTCGTCGTCGTGGTCGGTCCCCTGTCCGTCCCTCTTGGGGTCGGGTTGCCGCCGATCAGCACTGCCGGTGGCCAGGCCGACGGTCCGCGGCCGCCCCGCCGCTTGCCAGGGCCCGGCCTACAGGGAAGAAGTATACACCCCCAAAAGAGGCACGATCGAAAACGATGAGGGCGGGTATCGGTGATTCGGGAATACACGTATAATGACACTCGGTCAGGTAAGAGCGAACCGTCTTAAATTGATTGTTGTTGTTGTTGCTGCTGCTGCTGCTGTTGTTGTTGTTGTTGTTGTTGTTGTTGTTGAACATTGTTTATTCTAAAGAATAATTATTGTTGGGCCCCCTGGTGCGCGCCCCCCCCTGCGCCGCTTCGGCCGCAGCTACATTTTCATCATTTTCGTGAGGAAGCCTCAGAAAAAGAGGGTGTGTACAGGATCCGGTTGTTTTGTTG